TGTATGCTCATCATTACAACAAAACAAAAACTGTTTTTGCATGTGTGTGAATGTGTACTGTACCTCACAGCTACTGAGGTCCAACTCCAGCCCAAAGAGTCGAGTGTTAGTGGCCAGACCTTGTAGTAATAACCTAGTTGCAAAACAAAATGTATCTATGAAATATACAAGTTTATACATGGTATACCATGGTAACTGATAGAGTGAAAGCAAAGCAAGGTGTGAAATTAAATTGCTTCATAACACCCCTGAGTGATATCACAAATGCTAAACAAGTCCATGCCTATGCTAGTAATGGAAATATGAAGTATTACAGGGATTCACCTGAAGAATTCTCCCTCACTTTGTACCTTTACATACAATAATTTTTTACCTCTCACCTAGCCAGAATACCAGATCTTTTTAAAAAAATTCCAAGACTTAAAAGCTCTAAAACTCTTTAAGAAAATAATTACAGTGTTTGTTTGTTGTTAGGTTGGTTTGTTCACAGCATACTGTAACTCCAAATCTAAATCAAAATTTTATGCAGAAGTAGGGTATGGCCCACAAACATCTAGATCTGAATCATCATCCAGATCTAGGTTTTTTTTAAAGACTCTTCACTATTGTGACATAGGGCCAATACACAGTTTTCAGTCACATGTCTGGCACACCCCATCCTTGAACCGCCACCTTATTGTGGTGGAGGGGTTTGAGTACCCAAGTGATCCTAGGAGCTATATTGTTGGGGGCTATATGCCCCTGGTAGGGTCTCCCAAGGCAAACAGATCCTAGGTGACGAGTCAGACTAAGAACAGTTCAAAAAGCCCTTTATGAATAGAATTAAATCAAGGACCGTGACATCGCCCAGCATGACGCACCCGGGGCTCCACCCTGGAGCCAGGCCCGGGGTTGGGGCTCGAATGCGAGTGCCTGGTGGCCGGGCTTAGCCCGAACGAGCGACGTGCGGATGTCCTCCCATGGGCCCACCACCTGCAGGAGGATCCATAAGGGGCTGGTGCACAGTGGATCAGGCAGCAGTCAAAGGCAGGGGCCCCAACGACCTGATCTCTGGACATGGAGACTAGCCCTGGGGACATGGAATGTCACCTCGCTGGTGGGGAAGGAGCCCGAGCTTGTGCAGGAGGTTGAGAGGTACCGGCTAGATACAGTATAGTCGGGCTCACCTCCACACACAGCTTGGGCTCTGGAACCTTAGTCCTCAAGAGAGGCTGGACTCTCTACTACTCTGGAGTTGCCCATGGTGAGAGGCGGCGGGCTGGTGTGGGCTTGCTAATAACCCCCAGCTTAGCCGCAATGTGTTGGAGTTTACCCCGGTGAACTACAGGATCATTACCCTGAGCCTTCGGGTCGGGGATAGGTCTCTCACTGCCGTTTGTGCCTATGGGCCAAATGGCAGTGCAGAGTACCTGGCCTTCTTGGAGTCCCTGGGAAGGGTGCTGGAAAATGCCCTGACTGGGGACTTTGTTGTTCTACTGGGGGACTTCAACGCTCATGTGGGCGGCGACAGTGACACCTGGAGGGGCGTGATTGGGAGGAACGGCCCCCCGATCTAATCCTGAGTGGTGTTCTGTTATTGGACTTCTGTGCTAGTCACAGTTTGTCCATAACAAAGACCATGTTCAAGCATAAGGGTGTCCATCAGTGCACATGGCACCAGGACACCCAGAGGTCAATGATTGACTTTGTGGTTGTTTCATATGACCTTGGGCTGTATGTCTTGGACACTCGGGTGAAGAGAGGGGTGGAGCTGTCAACTGATCACCACCTGGTGGTGAGCTGGATCCGATAGCGGGGGAGAACGCTGGACAGGCTCAGCAGACCCAAACATATTGTGAGGGTCTGTTGGGAACGTTTAGCAGAATCCCCTGTCAGAGAGATCTTCAACTCCCACCTCCGGCAGCTTTGACCAGATCCCGGGGGAGGTTGGAGACATTGAGCCCGAGTGGACCATATTCTCTGCCTCCATTGTCGATGCGGGC